TGGGTCTGGGGTAAATGCCAAGAAAGTAGCCCTAACAACTCAAACAAGAAAACACGCTCGGTCACGGGTTCCCAAACATTTCTTGCGGCTTGCGTCGACCCCATATGGAAGAAGTTGGTACGAGAATTAGTTAATGTAAACAAGCAAACATACCCGGTTTTGGTTTCTCAAACATCTTTTGGGCGTAGGGTTGATCTCTTAGAGAAAAAATGGACCGAGAAGTGATGTGGGCGCCAGCTGCGTTGGACCCTATCGCCTAAACCCTTACTCCAGAAAATGTTGATTGAACACATTAGTTGAAGCGGTGCTAAGGCTTACAGGACCTTTTTAATGGAGTGAGGGCCGAGGAGGCGTTTGCGTTGGAATGGGAAAGCTAGAAAACATTGTTTTGGGTAAAATTTGGGGCAGCAAATTTTGAACCAATGCCATGCAACCTTGAAATCCTGGCTTGATCCTGCTCGGTTCGTTTAGTGAACTTGTTCATCTATGTTTTAGCCCAAAAGTTTGTTGCCTGGATTTCACTTGTCCACGCTGGATTTTGGCTCATAGTTATGCTTGCTCAGAATCAAAAATTCAAAGCTGTTCACTTCATGGCTTCTCTTTTGTCCTATCACTACTTTGCATGGACTTCACGTGCTTTCGCTTTTTTGCATGGACTTCACGCGCACTGTTTCTAATAAGACTTTGCGTCTAGCTGAGCCATGTTGTGTCTGGCATTCAATGCCTGCATCACCAGAGGCCGTTGCTGAGAGACTGGACAGTCTCGAATTCAGTGTTGCTGTCTTACAGCATGTGCGCAATCAGGATAATGCTGAGCTATCTTCCGCTGTGAGTGCACTTGTCAATCAAGTTGGTGAGCTAGAATCTAAAGTGCTGCGTTTGGAAGCCGAGCTTGAATTGCTGCGCTTCTTGCTGCATTACGCGCTGGCTCGCGCGGAGGACACAGATTCTGTTGCGCCGAACCAATTATCACTTGACTCCTTGGATTGAGTGCATCTATGAAGCGACCAGTATCGCCTTATAACCGTAAGGAGGGTCGCGCTAGGGCTTGCCCTAAACCCCCACCCCTTCGCCTGCCCGTGTCTGTTATGCAAGCTGTGCTGGGCGTAGGCAAGCATGCCCTAGAAATTCCTACACCAAAAACCCTAAGTGCTGCTAGTGTGCGCCTCAGGAGACAGCCTCCCACCTTGGCCCTCTCAGGTCTTCCTGTTCCTGCAGACCCTGTGCGTGCAAAGGGCACAGCTTCATCACAGTCAGCTACTTCAAGCAACTCTCCTATAGGGTTGGGTGCTTCGCCTAAAGAGGGTTCCTTATGCCCGAGCCCCAAACAGCCCCATAGCCACCCGCTCTCCCTTTTGCGCCCACCTGCGCCAGGCAGAAAGAACGCTCGCGCGCTAAATGTGCAAACGCTGCTGACTCCCCAGTGGCTTGTGATCTTTTCATGTCAGTGCTTGCCTTCTTGGGTGATGAGAGCAAATTGTATTGCTCTCTCACAGTGTCCATCCACCAAGACTTGCAAATAAGACGCATTTTGCAGTCTTGTGCAGCTGAAACAGCCATTAGATATCTTTCGGCGTTCCAGCGCTTTGCGAGCACTTGCGAATCTCTGAATTATTCTTTGATTCAGCTTGAGGAAATTGAGCTGGCAGACATCCTGATTACTTTGAGCCTTGAACGTCATGAAGATATCAGCGCTGGTTCATGTAGCATCACAACCGTCAAGGCGCTGCGATGGGTGTGTAGAAACACCGAGACGGACTGCTTGTCCAAAGCATATGGTCCGCTCTTGAGTTCATTCTTGAGCAGGAAACTACCTAAAGATCGCAAGGAGGCAGTACCTTTGCCACTTTTTGCTCTCGTGCACTTCGAGCGCCGCATCCTGTCCAGCTCCGCCAGCATTGGGGAAGTTCTTATCCTGGGTGCTATTTTGGTTACTACCTGGGCCTCCTTCGCTGACAGCCAGCGCATAGAATGGTCCACCTTCTCCTTCGATGTGTCGGCTTTTCGGGGCGTTTGCTATCAAACCAAGACCAGCTGGCGAGGACAACCTTTTGGCCTCATAGCGTCAGGCTTCCTTTCACATGGTAGTCACAGCTGGGTTGCCAAATGGCTTCGGGTTCTTGATTCCCTTGCTTCCCAAAACTTTCGGGATCATGATGCACATGCCTTCTTGTGGGTGGAGCTGGACGCCGATTCAAACCCTATCCTCCCTCTGCAAACAATGTCCTATTCTACCGCCTTGAGATGGCTGCGACACTTTCTGTCGTTTCGTGGCTCACTGATCCCCCCGTTCTGCCCATCACCAATTACACCCTGCGCAGTTTGAAGGGGACACTCTTGTCCTTCGCGCTTGAACTCCCAGAAATATCGGACGGGGATAGAGCCTCTCAAGGACATCGTCGTGGGAGCAGCGTCGTGCTCTACTCCCGCGACGACGTTTTGGGCGCGCTTCGCCTTCAACAACAAATCGGGCTGGCCATACTCGCCTCTTGGCGTCCAAGGACTCCCCAACATAGAGGAGGACAAAGCCCTATGGCCTATCCCCGTAGTCGTAGAGGCCTTTCGTAAGACTCTTTCCACGGCAGCTTGGGGCTACTTGAATTTTGATCTCAGCTCGCCAGGAGCTCTGCCACACTGCATTGCACCATCCTTGCCATGCCCCAAATCTGCCACCGCAGGCTCCGGTCGTTGTCCTGATCAGGTTTTCAATGTCCCTGACGACTCCGCCTTGGAGGATTCTGCAGAATCAGATTTTGGTGATTTAGGCCCCCCGATGAACTTATTTTCATTACTTCTACGGGAATAGTGCATGCGGCATCTGACTCAAGCACCTCCAGATCCTTGTGTGGGGTTTTCCTTCCCCCGGACAAGTGCAGCGTTGTGGCCAACTTTCGTCCCGAGCATCGGCTCTGCCGTAGGGCTGCGTGCGTTGCCGCGTTTGCGTCACTTTCAAAGGCCTGAGGATGCTTTACTTACCGAGGCACTTTGCCTCTTCGCCATACGGGCGGCCACGAAAAAGAACATTTTTTCTTGCATGCTGCTTGTCATGTCTTTCTTGTGGGCTGCTTGCAAGGGCATAACTTTTCTGCGTAGCTCAGGGTTGCAACATCCTTCATCAACACCTTCGTGTCTGCCTCTCAAGCTATTCACTTGCATTTTCATAGCTGTTATTCCCTACCATCCTTTAGCTATGGCTGCTCTCCCAGAGGCGAACGAAGCTGCTCTTCTGGCTGCTGAAGCTCCTGAGCAAGAGCCTCCGCTAGCTCTCTCGGACCTGGGCAGGTGCCACACGACGTGTGCGTAGCTTTGGACAATGACGGCTGGACAATTTCTTCGTTTCGCAGTGTAGTTACTTCCTTGGAGAAGTTTGATGAGGTTCTTCCTGAACTCTTGCCGGATTGTGAGCTTAGTCTTCTCCAGAAATCTCAGCTACGTGCGGCGTGGCGCTCTCTTCAGGGCCCCGATGAGGCAATGCCTGCCACATCCAGCAAGTCCTTAGTTCCAGCTCTGGAAGCATCAGGTTCATGGTCTGAGACCTTCGCGCCTCGCTTGGATGCATCTAAGGTGTCAACACTCAAGAAGGCCTTCTTGAAGAACTATCCCTCGGAAATCCTCACTTCAGCAACCTGCCCCAGTTTGCGTCTTCTCTCTACAGCAGTCCATCAAGAGGCTCGTAAAGACCTTAAATGGATTCCATGGAAGTTTCGGAGGACTCAGTTGGCCTCCGATGAAGCTGTCATGAGCCGTCCCAACAAACATGCTCGTCTTGAAACCTTGAACCTCACCTCACTCTTGATGGATGATCCCCCAACCATGGAGATTGGTAATGACGTCATGGGGATTCCTACAATCCAGCGCATCATGTCAGTCCATGACACGGCATTGGTCATGTCCGGTACGGCCCATCTAGCACGACTGAAACATTATACCACTAAATTTTTGGGGTTCTTGCAGACTCGTTTGGAGCCCGATTGCGGCCTCCGTGTTCCGACTGTGCTTGAGGCGCGGCAAAGATCGCGTCCTCTGGACAAACATCTTTGGTCTGGTTCTCGAAAAGGATTGGTCGGTTGATGATGCTATCTTCGAATACTCGGAAATTAGGGCCGAAATGGCTGCGCTGCTACAGCCACGCGCCAAGATGCCTTCGGTGCCGGGAAGCCTGCTACTAAGGGTAAGGGTCAGGGCCCCCAATGGATCAAGAACGTCACCATTAATGGGGCCGCAAAACAACTCTGCGCGCGCTGGCAGAGCGGCCGCTGTACGGCAGGGGCCTCCTGCCCCTTCATCCATGCCTGTGCCTATCCTAAGCCTGACGGGTCGGCATGCATGTCCAAGGATCACAATGCTGCTAGCCATCAAGCCACTCCGCACTGATCTTCAGCACGTGATTCTTCCCTGGCCGTTCAGCTTCCCGAGGTGCGAGCGCCTCAGTCTGGGCAGCATGTGCAGCCATTACCTCGGCCTGTCGCTGTAGTTTCGCCTGGTTCGCGCAAGCCCGAACCCCAGCCCCTAGAGTTGCCTTTAGTGGCCTCCCGGCCATAGTCTAGACCTCAATGCCCCCTTCACCTCATCTTCCATTGCACCTCCGCCAGATTCCTCTTTCAACCACACATCAAAATCCTGCGTTTCGGTCCCCGTGTCAGGGCAAGTTCCTGCTACTTCTTCTGGGGAGGTTCCCCAGCATGCAAGTCATCCGCTTGATGACTCCTCTTTGCCTGCGTATGCGGGCGCAATTTCCTCGCTCCCCGCCTAGGAGCCACAACCCGAGTGCTATGCAAGGGCCCGCGACTACGCCGCCTGCCTCTCAGCACACTTCTTCCGCAAAGCTGTGTCTTTCGGCTCCGACGGAAACAGCTGTAGGCCCTCACGCATCTCATGCCAGCACATTGCAGGCGCAATCCTCTCTACAGGTATCTTCAACTGCTCTCCAGGCGTATCAGCTTGAGGCCTTGCGTGCGTGTCTCGAAACCCTGATGGCAGCCTCTTGGCCAGCCCAGTCTGGCACTCGGGCCTCAGTTCAGCCTTGCTCCCCCAACTCAGGCTATTATAACTTTGGGGCCCGCGCTAGCGATGCTTCGAGCCTGACCGCTGTCACCAGAAGCTGCCCCAGGTCTGCAGACAGCTCAACGCGCTCTTGTGTGAACTTTCCCAGCCGACAGCCATAACTGTGCATCCTCTGCGCGTCAGGACCTTGCCAATCAGAGGGACTCTCCGAATTTAGCAGCGGGTCTGGGTGCCTACTCAGGTGGCGAGCTATGGATTCAAGGCGCGGCACCCGCCGGGTGCGGGGCCTCCCCCATTGATCTGAAACTGCTGAATATCCTCCTGAGTTGTGTCAGGCATTCGCTTCATGCGTCTCCCATTTGGTGAGTGGCTCTTCGGCTACTCTGTCTTTGCAAAGCGCCGCTCAACTAGTGCCAAGCAAAAGCTTTTTGCAACCACCCCTGGCTATCCACGACGGGGCGGGGCAATCTTCCTGCCCAGACTGGAGCAAGCCTCACACCAAGGACTTCCTTGGTCCCCTGCGATCTGTCCTTCTGGACTTTTGCATGAAGCACAAAGCACCGCAACGTCTGCTGGCTCGCGGCAGCATGCCTTCCTCGGAACCCTTGTTCACAGAAAGCGAGGTCTCTCAGGCAAGATCTTTGCTCTTCCCCTCGCTCGGCTTCCGCGAACCTGCGGAAGCTTGGGCTGTTCGCGAGGATCAACCCTTCTTTCTCAATGCGCTGCACCGGGTAGCAAATTTCAATGCGCTGCACTGGGTAGCAAATTTCTGCGAGGATGCTGACATCCACTTATTCCCCTATCTGAAACAGGGGATTTGCGCCGGGTTCCTCAACGATATTCCGCCATCTCACTGCTTTCGGCATAATTCTAATGACCCGCTGGAGGACGCGCCGCTCTCCTTGCATTTTCAGAACTGGCGGTCTGCTCATGTTGATGAGGCAGTTACTGCAAATCTGCTCCAGGAAGAGCTGGATCGCTACCCTGGCACCGTCGAGGATGCTCGCTCGGAGTGGCCGACTGGCCTGGCCTTGGGGAAACTTGGGGTAGTTCGGGCTCCAGGCCGCAAAGAGCGACTCGTCCTGGACAACTCCATATGCGGCGCAAACGCCAACTGCGTTGTCCCTGAGCGTCAGCTCATGCCATCGGTTCGGGACGTAATGTCTGCATTTCCTCTTAGAGGCCAGCCTCAACACCAAGCCGCTCTCTCTTTGGATATAAAAAGTGCTCACAAAAGAGTTGTGGTCAAGTCAGAGAGGGGGTTGCTACGGTTCACTTGGCAGGGTTCCCTGTACTTCTACAAAGTGGCCCCCTTCGGGGCCACACTCGCACAACATTGGTGGGGGAGGCTGGGGTCCTGCCTTCTCAGGCTGCTACATATACTCGTGTGGGTAGCTCATTCCGGCCACCTCTTTGTGGATGATTATCTCTTCTCTATGCAGCACGAATTGCTCCCTCACTTTGGATCCATGATCTGCCTGTTCCTGCAAATTATGGGGGTACCTTTATCTTGGAAAAAGTTGCAGATTTCCTTTCAGGTTGATTGGATGGGCTGGTGTTTTGCTTTAGTTCCGGGGTCGTTTCCCTCAAGGAAGACAAGCGACTTCGGCTTCTAGGCATGGTCCAGTCTCTTTTACGCACACCGCGCACGACTCGCAAGGACTTGGAGCGTTTCATTGGTTTGGCCGTGTGGGCTTGCAATCTCTTTCCTGTCATGCGTTCCATGCTGCGCACATTTTATCACGACTTGTATTCTTCTGCCGCCACTAACTACAGCATTGACCCCGCAACATGGCCTGCCATTTCCAGGTATCTGGATGCTTCCTTGCACTTCGTCTCGCAGCCTCCAAACACAGCCATCCCTGTCGGGGGGAGGCTGCTGGCCGCCCGTCATCAAAACATCTCCTGCTTGGCGGACTTGGCCAAAGTCCGCCTTACCGAACGGCGACTCTGGCTGCGGGGTTCAAATGCCGCCAGCTCGCGTCGCAAACTGTCTGCGCACTCCCTTCGGGCCCTCTCGGTAGCCGAGCATTGGCTTGCTTACTCCTTCCCTCAGCGCAGCATGCGCGCTCCAATGCAACTCCCCTTTGAGGCGAGAGCTGATGCAAGTGCGAAGGGTACTTCCACCATCATTGGCGGTTACGTCTGCCACCCAACTTTGGGCCAACTATGGTTTAGCGAGTCTTTTTCCTTGCGAGACTTTCGTGACTTGGGGGTATCGGTCTCTCCGGACATGGCGAGCGAGATCTCATGCTATGAAGCCCTCGCGCAAGGGGGGCTGATAATTGCGGCCTCGTCTCTCCTCCCGTCGTGCTCGGTGCCCATCCGCTTGCCTTCCGCTTCGGATAACACCGGGGCTGAAGCTGCCCTGAATGCCTGCTTTACGACCCTCCCCAACCAGCGTCTGCGTCTGGACTTGCGTTCGCTCTGGCTTCCAAGACCTCACATTGCAGTGTTCCCGCCCGATACTCCTTTGCGCTGGCCCTTGCCCCGCCCCGACACAAACGCCGGCCAAGTTCATCCATCGGGCTAGTCCGGTCGTCCGCCATTTGTGTGGAGCAATCTAAGTTGGGCCATACGTGTCGCCCCACACAAATGTCAGAACGAGGAGTGGCGTTCGATGCAACAGCAAAAGGATGTCCGTTCTTTTGGATTCCAATTTATATATTTTCATTCAGATTGATAAATTTGGATGAATACATTTTTATATTCTGTGCAAGCGTAACTATTTGGGATAGAACGTTTAGTGAACTTGTTCATCTATGTTTTAGCCCAAAAGTTTGTTGCCTGGATTTCACGTGTGTCCACACTGGATTTTAGCTCATAGTTATGCATGCTCAGAATCAAAAATTCAACCCTCCCGCCTCACCCTAGTTTAGGGGATCTAGTCCTTTTCCCGGGGTTTTTGCGTAAAAACCTTTTCGCACCACCATTTGCAGGTCTCGCGCACGCCTCGCGCTATCCCTCTGCCGAGGGTCTTCACTGCCTTCGTGCGTCCAAATCCCATCCCGAACCCTCCCTAGGGGTCTAGTCCTCCTTTGCCCTGGCCTTGGATTGCTGGTGCAGCTTATGATACAAACTCAGAGCCCCGGCCAATCCTTAACCCTGTCTAATCCTCCCTTTCCCACACCTTGGATTGCTGCTGCAGCTTGTGCAAACACAGAGCCCCGGCCAATCCTGCGTCTTTTTGCCTCACTGCGTCTCTATATGCGTGTATACTGTGTCCGCAACAATGCGGTCAGCTTGCGTCTCTTGCAGGGCCTCCGCCTCCAATTCTGTGTGCTGCCCCGACACGTGGAGGCTAGCGTGTCTTGTCCCAAGGCCTCTTCTAATATCCTGCTCCTGCGCACGAGCAATTCGAGATCATTCATCGCTTGGGCTGTTCAATCCAGGCTATAACTGCCGCTCTTGCTACAAACTCATAGCTCCGGCATTCTTGCCCCTTTTCGACTGCAATGCATCTCTCCGTGCACGTGTGCAATTCGGCTTCGAGGGGCGTGCTACATCGATACTGCATCCCCTGCTGATGCCTTAATCCTGCTTCGCAACAACCAGCCTGCGCGCAGGGGCAACATCTTCCTTTGCCCGATCCGTTGCCGTAGGCGTGCCTGCCAGCTTCCGCTGCCTCTCCTTGCGCAGTCCATTTGCGTGGGGGCCGGGCCATACGTGTCGCCCCACACAAATGTCAGAACGAGGAGTGGCGTTCGATGCAACAGCAAAAGGATGTCCGTTCTTTTGGATTCCAATTTATATGTTTTCATTCAGATTGATAAATTTGGATGAATACATTTTTTACATTCTGTGCAAGCATAACTATTTGGGATAGAACTGCTTGGTTCTGCTCGGTTCTGCTCGGTTCGCCTCGGTTCCGCTTGGTTCGCCTCGGTTCTCCCCTCGGTTCTCCCCTCGGTTCTGCTCGGTTCCGCTTGGTTCCCCTCGGTTCTCCCCTCGGTTCTGCTCGGTTCTGCTCGGTTCCGCCTCGGTTCTCCTCGTTTTTTTGGTCTTGGTTTGCTTTTTTGCCTTCCGATTCAGCCCGCCTTGCCCCAGCCCAAGCTGAACCGCCCAAATCAAATGCAAACTCTTCTTTGAAGCCCCCCCCCCATCCCAGGCCAAGCCGAGCCACCCAAATCAAATGGATCCCTTCATCGCCCAAATCAAATGGAAATTCTCTTTCGGCCCTTCCCCCGCTGCGTCCACTAAAAGAGGGGCTATAAGTGTGAGGGCCGCTTCAACTAACGTGCTCAACATTTTCTGCAGTTCGGGTTCAGGCGTCTGGGGTTTAGGCTTTAGGGTCCAGGGCAGCTGGCGCCCTTGTCAATGCTCGTACCGCTTTTTTCTAGGGGATCGACCCTAGCCCCGAAAGGGGAAGCTTGGACCGGATATGTTTTCCTGTTTACGTTTACCACTTCTCGTGCCAATTTTTTCCTCAAGGGGTCGACGCAAGCCCCAAAAATCTTTGGGAACCTGTGACTGGGTATGTTTTCTTGTTTGAGCTTTTAGGGCTATTTTCTTGGCATTTACCCCAGACCCA